TAGGCCTATACACAATTTATCAAGAAGGCTATTAAAATATACAGTATATCAATTTGGTCAATCGTCTAATATTATATAACACTATTCCATCAGTCCCGTAGCCAGCCCAGCTAATCTAGCTAATACCATGTTGTATAGGCCTAATTTATGGCAATCTATAGTGCCATACGCTATCTGTATGAGTGGGTGGGTTTGGCTGTGAGTGATGCATACACCTGAGTAATCAAATCGAGAAAAAGAACAGAATAAAAACAAAAACAAAAACAAACAAAAAAACGACATTGTTAATTTTGCTAATTCCACTTTGGTTACAGAAACGAATCAAGTGCAAACCAAAGCTAACATTTTATTTGATCGAGTGGCATACGACAGGTTCTGACGTGTTGAAATAATAAAACGCATTATGATATTGAAAATGTTATCATCATATTTTCTTATCAGAGCTTATATACACAATACGATAAATCTAGTTTTGAAATTATAGAGCAATTGATAACTATGGCGTACATTGCCCGTAACCAAAGAAAGACTAGGCCTATTCTTTGCTGTAACCTAGGAGGCGCTATCATCTTTAAGTTTTAAATACATCAACACACGGTATGGTACATCGAAATAATATTTAAACCTTTACTATAGGACTTATTCATGTTTTCATTTAACATAATGTGATACGTCGTAGCCTGCCTGATAAATCTTAGCTAAGCTAAATTGCCTTCCCCCATGACAAATTCAAACGGTGTCTTAAATAGACTTTGAACTATTGCCCACTGCACCACATTGTAAGGCAGACGAAAAAAGACATATGGTATGTTTTGATGGCGTAAAACATATCTAATTGACGTTATTGAAAGAAAGGAATATCTTCACAATCAATATTCTAAACTTACTAAACAAACATATTATCTTTAATTAATTTCTGCATATACACATGGAATTCCTCTTATTTATAATCAAGTTGATAATTATCTAAATTGAATTCTTATTGAATCACATTTATTGGCAGGGACATCTGTTAGGTTCCACAATGTATCTCTTAAAGATAAAGGAAATGTTGTAAGCTGTGTTCATAAGCAGTGGTCCGTGTACATTCTCTGAAACGGAACACAGTCACCATGAATGTTAGGTTGCTGGTCCTCGCAACGGCGATAGTGCTTTGCAACGCTGAACCACGAAAATACGATGGGTAAGTAGAATCTTCCGATATGCATATCTCTACCGGTTTAACTTTGTTGTTAGCCTATATCTATAACGTTATGTTGTACAACTCCTCAACACTATTATTATTATTATTTTTGAACACTAAAGAGAAATATGTAGGTGTGGTTTCCCAACCCAGACTCCTGGGACCTTCTGTTGTATATGCAGACGCCTTAACAAACTGGGCCACTGAGGCTTCGTTGGGAATTCGAATTAAAATTTCACATTCTTTTGCACATGTGTGGAACAACGCTAGTTTCCGACAATAACATTCAGGTCATATGATGCATTACCGCATTATGTTTGTTTATATATGTGACTAACAATATATTTAAAATTATTTTTTTTATAGATATAAGCTACTTCGTATCACCCCGACAAATGAAAATGAGATCCAAATGCTAACAAAACTGAAATCAGTTATTCAAGATAAGGTACAATATTTTAAAATGACATTGAATTTGTTACAGGCATTATTGAATAAATATTATTTAAACGTTAAAACGATTAACAATCTTAACATTATAGTATCTGGTATTAGTATTTTAATCTTACCATCGATGTTTTCAATTTATAAGTAAATTCCGTTTAATATTTATCATATTAATTAATATATTTGTTATTCAACGTATCTTCATAATATCAGCGAATTCACCACTTACAAGGCTATTTAAACCTGAAAAGAATGAAACATGATTAATGGTGAAATACCAACGGCGCTAGCCCATGTCAGCCTAAAACGCTGCCTAATGAGTTAACACAAGGCGTTATCCCAATGCATACATTTCGTTTCAGTATAATAATGTACCATATTCGAATAAACGCCCCGGGGCGTTTGTTGTTAAGAATTACTTTTTAAGAGGGAGTTTATTTGAGAGAGGCATTCATTCTAGTGAGGCGTTTATTTATTTTTTTTTTTTAGTGTAAAATGGATAGGTATACTCAAATAAACGTCCAGCTGTAAATGTGGAACTACAACACACAATTACCGTGAAAATGTGTTATTGCGTGATCGTAAATGTACGGTATTAATCCCAACCAGGTTAGAAAAAATGTAATTCTACTGGGGTAGAACATTAATAGAATGTGTTAAGAATTATGTTGCTTCCATTATATATTTGTTTACAGTCATTTAAGGTGGCGTTATTCGAAGAAAACAATAACGGTCGGGTCTAGGGAGGCGTTTATTGCAAATAAGGCTCTAGAGAGGCGTTTATTCGAGGAGAGGGAGTAGGGGGAGTTTATTCAAAGCGGGGCGTTTATTCGAATAAATACGGTATTTTCAAATTTATCTGG